AGAATAAATAGAGGAGATGAGGTGATCAGATGAATAAAAGTGGAATAGGAGGAAGAGAGGAAGAGGGGAGGACAGGTAAAGTGGGAGATGGAGATGAGGATAGAGTAGATAGGAATTTTTAAATATATGAGAGAATCATAAATAATAGAATAGATAAATAATTATAATTTATAAGAATATATCAGTGGTAATGGATAATTTAATAAGATTATTTCAATAATCAAGAAAATTTGAAAGAAATCATTTTATACTAAATAAATGATTTGAGATATTATAATATATCTATATTCTGCTTGAACTAGAGAAATGACCGGTTATTGAAGAATGCGGTGCAGCATATAGGCTTTAATTCCTTGGCTGGAACGGCAGTCAGGCAAGAGGATGATCGGGATCAGGGATTAGACAGAACACGACGACAGACAAGAGTTAGAGTAGTAGATTTACGATAGATAGATAACTAGCGTTGTGATATAATCAAAGAAGTCATACCATTTACATCATATTTTCCAAGGATTAAGCCAAGGAATCCGACACACATAACCCGACTTGAACAAACACATGGCACATATAAGCCAGGGATACATTAAATGATTAGAATAAAGGGGGGGGGGGAAGGAGGGGGGAAGGAAGGAGGGAGAGGCGGAGGAAGGAAGGAGGAGTAGTGGGAAGAGGGGAACAGGGAGGGGGAGGGAGGAAGGAGATGGGGAAGGAATGGGGGCAGAAGGGAAAGGGGGGAGGGGAGAAGGGGGGGGGGAAACAAAAAAAAAGGAAGGGGGATTGGCGGGGGGCGAAAAAGGGCGAAGGGGAGGGGGAGGAGGGGGGGCCAGGAGGCAGGGGGAGGAGGGGGGGAAGGACGAGGGAAGAGGGGGGAAGGGAGAGTGAGGAAGGGGGAAGGGAGGCGAGGAGAAGGGAGGAAGGAAGAGGTATAGGAGTGCAAAGAATGAAGAAATAGCAGTAGAAGAAAAAGTAATCATAGGTGAGATAAGCGGGAAAGGAGGATGAGTGGTAGCTAGGGGAGTGAGGGCACGAGGGGATGATATTTAATATGTATTTTTAGATTTAGTAGTTCTAATCTTCTTCTGCTATTCTTTTTTGTCCAAGCAAACCTTGGTTATTCGCTTCGTGCTGAGTGAGCTATTGACACGTGAGCGAGTTGGAACCGGAGTATACCTAAACGACCTGGCAGTTCTTGTTAGGTGGATGTATTCTTATTGGCGCTGATTTAATTTTTTCACTATATTGAGGTCGTGTGTGTGTGGCGGTCAGGTCGAAGCGAAAAGGAGACGGGAGGAAGGAGTAAGGGGAGCAAAGGAGGCACGGAGGGACAAACAGACAAATAGAAGATAGATAGATAGAAAAAATTGAGGGAGATGGAGGAGAAGGATAGGATAAGGAAGAGAA